CAAGGACAATACCAGGAGACAACCACAGTCCCTTGTATCCTATATCATGAACGCAGATGCAGAGATACTTAATTGAGCGGTATATAAAAAGGATTCTATCTCATCATAAATTAGAGCTTTTCCCCAAGAATTCAAGGTCGACTTAGTATCAGAAAAATCAATAATCACATGCTAATTAAAGGAGGGGAAAAAAAACATGTTAATAGATGCAGAAGAAGCATTTGACAAAATAGAACATTGGTTCATCAAAAAGAGACTTAGCAGACCAGGAATAGAAGGGAACTTAACCTTAAAAAGGGCAGCTACAAACACTTAACAGCTGACATTATACTTAATGGTGAAATACCGAATACCTTCTCAAGGTTGGAAACCAGGGAAGGGAACCACTTCTGTTGAACACTGTATCGGCTGCCCTAGTCAGTGCAGTAAAGCAAGAGGAGAAAGGTACGAAGAATAGAAAGAAATTTTTTCCTATTTGCAGAAATGACATGATTTTTTTTATAGTGAGAGCTCTAAGGAGTGTACAAAACAATCAATACCATTAATAAGGATTTGATTTAGCAACGTCATAAGACAAGCTCATTATATAGTTGTATTTTATAGAGTAGCCCAAAACACTGGGACAATGAAACTAAGTGCCAAATCCCATTTACATGGTAATAAAAAATCTCGGAATAAATTTAACAAAAGAACTCCAGTCCTTTACACTGAAAACCACAAAATATCACTGAGAATTTAAAAAGAACACCTGCGAAAATGTAGAGATATGCTAAGTCTACAGATTGGAAGGCTCAGTGTTGTTAAGGTACAGCTTCCTCCAAATTGATGTGTATACATCAATACAATTCCAATAAAAATGCCAGCAGGGTTGTTTTGTTGTTTGGGGAAAGTTTTGTTGTTTGCAGAAATTGACAAACGGATTCTAAAATGTATATGGAAATGTGAAGGACCTTGAATAAGCAAAGCAAACTTGAAAACATTGGAAAATTTACACCGTTTGGCTTTAGAGCTTAAAGTAAGCCAGTGTGGCACTGGCATAAAGATATCAGATACATGATGGAACAGAGTAGAGGTCCCAGAAATAGACCACATCTATATAAACAGTGAGGAAAGGAAAAATTTTTTCAGCAGGTGGTGTTGGAATACTTAGATATCTCTTCCAACAAAAATGAACCACAACTTCTACCTCATACCAGAGAAATACCATTTCACAGTGGATCACAGACCTAAATACAAAACCTTAAACCATAAAGCTTTTAAAGAAAAAAGAGAACAGTCTTGGTCGTTTAGAATTGCACAGAAATTTATTACGTACAGAAAACCACCACCACAGAAAGAAAAGTTGAGAAATGAGAATCAAAATTCAGGACTTATGCTCATCTAAACACAGCTATGAAAATGAATAGGCACGCCTTGCTGGAAGAAAATACCCACAAATCCTATCTGACAAACGACTATATTCAGAAACTATAGCTCCGTAATAAAAAGACCAGCCGCCTAATTTAAAACGGCCAAATAGGGGCGCCTGGGTGGCGCAGTCGGTTGGTGTCCGACTTCAGCCAGGTCACGATCTCGCGGTCCGTGAGTTCGAGCCCCGCGTCGGGCTCTGAGCTGATGGCTCAGAGCCTGGAGCCTGTTTCCGATTCTGTGTCTCCCTCTCTCTCTGCCCCTTCCCCGTTCATGCTCTGTCTCTCTCTGTCCCAAAAATAAATAAACGGTGAAAAAAAAAATTTTTTTAAATAAAAATAAAACGGCCAAATATTTTAACAGACGCTTCGCAAAAAGAGATACATGTGTTTACCTTTACTGGAGATATTTTTACATCTTCATAGGACTTGGGGTTACCCTCTGTTCTTTTCCCATCAACCTGACAGATTCCCTGTAGCATTTCCCATAGGCCACATCAGTGCTCCTGAGCACTGGCACCTTGGGTACCTGGGGGTGTCTGCGGATCTCCCTCATTTTTGAAGAGCAGTTTTGTTTTGCTAGTTCCAGAATTCCCCGTTGACAGGTTCTGTCTTTTAGCTCGTTATATGAACATTCCACCACCTCCAGCCTCCAGTGTTGCTCCTGAGAGATCAGCTCATCATCTTACAGAGAATATCCTACAATGAGTCACTTTTCTCTTCCTGCTTTTAAAATTCTTCAGTTTTGGCTTTTGACAGTTGGGTTACAGTGTGTCACAATATGGTTCCTTTGGGATTTATCCTATTTGGAGTTGTTAAGTTTCTCGATTTGGGAGATGTATGTTTTCAAGTGATAGCAGTTTACGGCTGTTGTTTTTCCAATAATGTCTGCTCCTTTCTTGCTCTCCTGGACTCTGATAATGTATATTATTGGTCCATTTAATATCCCATAAGTCCCTTAGGCTCTTGTCACTTTTCTTCACATCTTTTTTCTTTCTCCTCCTCAGTCTCAATAATTTCATATGTCCCGTCTTCAGATTTGTTTCTTCTGCTGGCTCACATCTGCTGTTGAATCTCTCTAATGAGTTTTTTAAACCTTTTTTTTTTTTCCAGTTCCAGAATTTCTGTTTGGGTCTTTTTTTGTAATTTCTGTCTCTTTGTGGATATTATTTTGTTCATATATCATTTTCCTCATTTCCTGCAGCCCTTTGACCATGTTTTCCTATTGCTCTTCGTGCATATTTAAGATGGGAGTTTCAAAATCTTGGTTCAGTAAGTCCAGTGCCTGTACTTCTTCAGGGATAGCTTCTGCTGGCTTCTTCTTTTGAATAGGCTGATTTTCTCCCTTTTCTTTGGCCTTGTGTTGAAAATTGGACATTTGTTGGCAGCCGGGGCACCTCTCCAAGTCTTGGCAGTTTGCTTCCTGCCGGGAAAGTCCTTTACTGATTAGCCGGGCACTCTCCCGGCCCTGGGATCAGCCCCACCTGCGGGCTCAAGTTCCCCTCAGGTCGTTTCTGACCAGGTCTTGTCTGGGCCTGTGTGGGGCCCTCTCCCTTCCACAGTATATACAGCTGCTTTGGAACGTCACAGTTGCCCAGAATCTTCTCCCAGCTTCTCCTTGGTGCCTCACGTGGTATCCTGAAGGTCTCCGCCCATGATCTCTTGCCCCAGGCATGTGTGTCTGTCACCCCATGCAGCTTCCCTCCCCCCCC